GTATAGTATATAAACACTTCAAAAAGCGGAGACTACTGTGCAAAATGTTGTTGACCTAATTCAAGTGGAATATGTATGTATTTTGATTTGAATTGTTATTTAACATTGTAGTGTACGACTTGTAGCACAGTTGAATTATTTACTGCACATTAGCTGTATACATATATTATAATATATACGATTTTTATAAAAACTTTATACTCCGTTTTGGAATTGAATAAATATGTTAGTCATAACGAAAAATTACCATGCTGCTTATGTTAATAAATTCGCTAAAACCAAACTGTAAAACATATTTACATTGTATTGTATCGGTCAATATAACAGATGTCATTCGACAAGTCGTAAGACAACCATTGAAATACTTGGTTTAACTATTGCAATTGTTTAAAGTAAGTAAAACTACCGAATCTTCAAAAAGAGTAAAACTGTACTCTTTCAATGTGTTTTTCTGATTTTCAACTTTTTTTCGCATCTAGAGTTCGATAACATTTATTCTACTTAGCCTAATTCATTATACATCAAGACCATAAGTTTTTATAGTAGTTGAATTTATTCGACGATATTTTGCTAAGTAATAGAGAGTTAACGTTGAAAGTTAAAATCTCGACAATTTTTTTTTACGTTTTTTCTCAGTTTTGATGGGGGGAGAAGTTTTCTAATTTAATAAATTAAATATAACAAAAAATAATAGCGTCACAACGGTTGTCCACACAAATTTACAAACTTATGCGATTGTAAACGACCGTTTTAGAGTTATTATTGACTTATAAATTTTTACAAAATTGTTTCCGGTAATGAATAAAATACAAATCAAATTATAAAGTACAATTTTTATACTTTGGCACTTGGAACGTTTGACACTTTCACTCTTCAAATATGATCAAACTAGGATCATAATCGTATAAACGTCATACTTAATAAATATATAATGTAATTTAATGCATACTTGCTTATATCATGGTGAGATTATCAAATCAGACTGATTGTCTTACTGAATTAAAAAAAAAAAAAACTATAACTAAATATTATCCCGTACTATACACATTTTATATGTATAATAATTAAATAATTATTAACGAATTATCAAAAATAGTATTCAATACCAAACAATGTATTTAAATATTGGTATAATATACCTTGCAAGACTGAATGTTATTTATAATCTATTAGTAGGTTTTTTAAATAATTATTATTCACTTAATATTTTACAGAAATTAGTTTATATTAAGCTACTCTGGATAAATATTTTTATTAAATAAACCAAACTAAACAATATGAATTTGTTCAGTAATATTTATTCAAATTATTAAAAAAAATGAAGAAATTTTTGGTCAATATAAATTTGCAGATTTACAATTATCTCTCGATTTGAAAATGTCCGTATTTGATAGAAGATTGCATAGCAAATATTTTATTAATCTGAGTACTTATTCATTCAATATGGCCATTTACTTAGCGATAATCAAATCTCTAAAAGGAAGTTAAAATTTTAATACCACACAAAAGTATCCTAAATATTTTAGTACATAACAGCTTAGGGATTTTATTTATCTTTTTAAGACACGTCTAAACAAATTTGTGTTGTTATTTATTGTTTCATTTTTTCTTATAATTACTACATCTTTAAAAATGTTTATTAAAGTCTCTTCATGATTCTATTATTTTAGTTAAATTTCTTAAGGAAGTAGAACCAAAAACAACATGCTTTTCTTCAATCACACTTTATAATTACATTAAAATACAATAAAACAAACGAAGTAAAATATAAACTACAAAGTAGAAATAAATAGAAGTGATATTATGTATAGAATAGATACCTACACTAGTTATGATTTCTCTGTTATTAATGCTGTCTACATTTCATTTATTAAGAAATGTATATTATATAAAAAAAAAAAAATATAGAAATAATACATATTATAAAATAAATAGATACAATTGCAAGTTGCAGCATCTCATCATATTTGAAAGTATATGCTCTTATCTCGTTCTCATCCAAATCTGCTATTAAAGCTCTTTTTGTCCAAAAAATTTTTAATAAGCTATAATATGACTGATTTAAATATGTTAATATTTACTTAAGATTGGTCAAGTTGTGAAAATTTAAATGATATAGACGTAGCTATGGACATATTTAATGGAAAAATTAATGAGGCTGTTTCCAATTCTACTAAAATGTATATAATAAACTTATCAAATAAGAAATTAAAAGGTTAGATATCAAGCGATCTGGTTAATTCTATTTTAACTAAGTGAAAATAAATTAGATATTCCCATTTTTATTTATCATTAAAAAAGGTATAATTGTTTTAGGAATATCTTATACCTACATAGTTTGGTTAGAAATACTAGTTCAAACTTGTAGAAGATAATTCTAACTTTATACTGTTAAATAGTCATACTTAACTATGAAAAGTATAAAAGTTGTAGAAATTTAATTTATAATTATCTTCAGGTAAGTTAATAATAGTTTTAACAAATGTTAAATGTGTTTTCATTCCTATACATAAACCAGGAAATAAATAATTGGTCAGTCATTATTATCTATTATTTCAGATGGTAATTATAATTATTAGACTATGGCCATTATAAAGTATAAACCAATATCGTTTTATCACTGTCTCCGTCGAAAATATTTGAAAAATCATTAAATCCCAAATAATGAAGTAATATAATATTTAGTTATTAAAACATACTTACATGGTTTTACAAGTTTCTTATAGTTGAATATGAGTAAAACTAAGCATATAGTTTTCAATATTCAAAAATATTTTAATCTGGATAACTTAAAGTTTAGAAGTCAAAAATGTGTAGAGATGCAAAATTGTGTTTCATGAATGATGGTTCATATAACATGTAACTGCGTTACTATTAAAAAAGATAATAGTTATATACCTTGATTCATTGATTACTGACTAAAATGAAAATATCAAAAATATAGAATATGTTATAAAACTATTCAATTATTATTAAGACATTATTTATAAATATTTATAGTTATTAGACAATCGCAGGTATTGTTAAGGGTTTAACTTACTAAGGCTAATTTATTATTTATTTGTAGAATCTATAATTATTTACTGCATTATACTCTGCATATAAATAAAGATAATGATGTCCTATTATGGTGAATTAACACCATACTACATTACCACATTTAATCAGACTAGAGATAGTTTCAGCAGTTAAACCGCTCTAATAAATAAGCATGCCGATAAGCTTTTTATGACTTCAGACGACTACTATCATACTGTAAAACATAATTTACTTGTATAAATAGTTTTATTCAAATAGGATGTAATAATATTGCCACACAATTTGTGTACAACATAGTGAGTGTACGAACTTTGTCGCTACAATAATTGATAAATAGATTATGTTATTCATTTTAAATATTGCATGTTTATATTATGTGAAAACGAGAGTTTTGAATTATGAATTAAAAAATAACTCTAATATAAATATTCATTTAATATTAATAAGAAACGGAAGTAAATTTTATTTACCAATAATTATCGTTGTCGCCATATGAGCTAGTTGGTTTTTTGTCATTATACATGCATCGTAAAAATTTGTACTATTTAAGAAAATATAATATATTTTAACACGGTTGATTTTTTTATCATTTGAATTATTGCCGTTCGGTTCTAGAGATAACAGTTAACTCTGAACGTTAGTTATATTTTAGTTACTTTTTTTTGACAGAATTGGCAGACTGATAGAATGTGAATTTATATTTTGGTGTTTCGGGGTTGGTCACGCTGATAAAATAAAAATTGTGTTATCTTTTGGAAGAACTGCCCCAAACACCCATAGAGCTGTAATTTCTGTTAACGACAAATATTATATATTATCAACATAGCAGTGGTTTGTTTGGTATTTGTACCACGGTCATTGTTAGGTTTTTTGTTAAATGGCCATTCGCTAGCTGGTTGTATTGGTTTTTCAACCTACCTCTCGATATGTTAAAATAGGTAAGTACTCTGTAAACAAGAACAGTTTGTCTATAATTATTTCAAAATCTTTTGAAGTAATTAAATTTCGATAGTAATTAAATTAGTCATAATTAATATAGTGTAATTTAATTAATAAATTAGTGAAGCTAGAATTTATACAAGTAGCTACTATAATCTAGTTAAGTATTAAAAACGTATAGACGAAACCTAAACGTTTAGGTGTACAATTACACTTCATAATAAACCACGTGACAAACATAGCAAGAACAAATAACACTGCTACACTGCCATACATGTGAACACGAATTAACAAAGACACAAACAACGACCAAATGATGGCTGACTAGAGACATGAGAAGCAACAGCGCCCTGTACCGGCTGTAGGGCGGCGAAGGTCATTAATCCCCGCCTAGCGCATACATTTTGAGGAAATTGCAATTTTCAGATTTTCCCTTTATTTACACTATATGACCCACCTTTGTGCCAAATTTCACGTTTCTACCTATACTGGAAGTGTCTTATAATTTTGATGATGGGTGAGTGAGTCAATCAGTCAGGAACAGAAATTCAAGATTTGAAAGGGCTTATAATTAGGGGCTCATATTTTTACAGTGTCCTAAGCTACATGAGTTTAATCTATGTTCCAAATTTCAAAAGCTTATCTTAAGAAGTATTAGAGATATGAGAGTTAGAAATACTGGTTGAATAGGTTCGTGTAAAGATACACTGGCATTGCTAGAACTGCCGTGCGCTCCAATATTCCGAAAAAATGAGTGTCTTACCCAAAATGAATCACTCTGTATATATATAAATATATATTCATTTACATATGTTTTCAATAAATAACGATGAACAATCTATATATCACATATTTGTAGTATTGGTTTTTTATCCGAAAAACCTATAAAATTCAAAAACCACATTTATGAAAAGTATATGTTTTGAAAATAAAGTGATTCACACATATTTACATTGGATTTTTTCGGTCGACAAAACAGATATCGTTCGACCAGTTGTAAAAAAACCATTAAAACAGTCGTTTTAACTATCATTGCAATTTTTTAAGTAAATGATACTACCAAAACTGCAAAAAATTTAAAACTTCACACTTTTAATATATTTTTCTAATTTTAAACGTTTTCCCGCATCTAGAGCTTCTATAACATTTAATCCACTAGTCCCAATTCATTATACATCAAGGCCATACGTGAATAATCCAACCAACCATCGTAAGTACGCATTATATATAGATAGATGAATTTTAAACGCATTTGTCTTAGAATAACATACAGCATTATATTTTGTAATCTATATTTTAAACATATAAGTCCATGTTTCTTTGTACAACATTTTTTGTAAATAGATTTTAAAACCAAATGTCATTTTAAAAAAAACAAATCATGCGAGGGAGTGCAGGTTATTCAAATTCGGATTTGAGGGTATTTGTGTATCAGGGCATGCCTGATCAACATTGTAATACAATTTTGTTTCAGTTCGACACTTTTTCGCTAAGTTATAGAAAGTTAACGTTTGTGGGAGTGAAGAAGTTTACTTTTTCGACTTTTAACCTAACAAAGTCACTCAAAATTTCGGATATCTTAGATTAATCGGGCCATACTAAAACATGTAGTCGTATTTGCTGATACAAAAAAAAAACAGACATCATAGGAACACTAGCTCGGCATCGATACAAAAAAACAGCTTTGCAAATAAACTAGCAACGATAGGCTGCAAAATATGTTTTTAGTATATTGTATTGCCGAAATTTAATGTACTCAATTTTAAAATGTGCAATGATTATTCAAAATTTAATTTTTGATTTTGTATCTTTAAAATACATCTCAAGCTACTTTATATCTTGTATTTTAAGTTTATTAAAAATACAAAAACAATAGTAAATTCTGAAAATTAAAGGTATTACCAGAACACTATACCTTCTTGCTGGTTAGAAATTTTTGAAATACGATGTTTTTTCGAACAAATTAAGATTAAAATTAAAAACATATAATATATTTTCCAGAAGCGCCTGAACATTAAAAAAATTCATATATGTTTATTAATGTTTTAGATAAAAATGAAAATTTCCTGTATTTTATTATCATTAATGTGCGTAAATGTTTTGGCTAATATAAGTATAAGTAAGTATTTTATTTTCATATTTACCCACACAAGGACGATAAAATTAAAAAAAAAATAATATTTTACTTTTCTTTACAGCAGAATATATAAATATGGTTGAACTTCTGAGTAAGTAATATTTTATAATCATACAGACCAACACAGTACATTTTAAAATTTTACTATATTTGTATAAAACTATTTTTTAAAAACGTTTATCACAGACTTGCAAATTCAAAAAGCTTCTGGCTATAACGACGATTATATAGGAAGTAAGATAATAATAATTAATATACTAATATGTAATTGTTTTGGTATGTTGGCCTACTTATCAAATTATTTGTACATCAAAAATAATATAATATAGTAACAGTGTGCCAAACACTGTAAACGTTTTTAAGTTTTAAAAATAAAGTAACAAATGTTTGTACTCGTATTTACTAGGAGTCCGGAAATGCATCTTTACGGTTTTAAAATAAGAGTCGGCTTTTATAATACAGCACTTCCGAAAATTGTCTTACAAGAATGATATCTATATAAGTTGAGAATATTATCTGTGCCTTTAAGTTAAGACTGTAAAAAAAAATGCCAACACCTAACTTTCTAATAAATGGGCGAAGTGGTATCCTGTAATAGTGGTTGTTTTATATTATTGATTGGGTCTGTGCTCCATCGCTCATAAGCACAGGCCGTCACTGAAAGTTACTGTAATTTACAATGAGCATACTTTACCCCAGGAATAGACTAATTAGGGAACTGAGGGAGTTGCCTAATGTATGGTGTAATTTTTTCTTATGCTTTTCATTTACATTTTGATTTTATTCGGAACTTTTCTTTAGTTTAAACTTTTATTGGTTTGTTCTAGATGGATTGGAGCATGTAATTAAAGACTTTTTACAATCAAACGGCTATGACTCGAGTAACAATAATTATGAATTAATAAAAAACAATTTGGTTATGGATTAATTGTACACAAAAAACATCAAAAATATCTTTAACCCTTTTACTGCCATTGTGTTTTTCAAACTGCAACATGTCCCAACCATTACTATTATGGTAACCTGTTTCGTACTTCATTAATTGATTAGTACGTAAAAGTACGTCCACGGAAGTGAAAGGGTTAGAGAAAATGTTTAAATAACATATATTTTATTTTATCTTATTCTACTCCCCAATGCGATTTAATACAGCTATTGTATTTTCATTAGGTTTCAAACTTATATAATAGAGCTAAGCATTTTGTTCTGATCTACTTATACACATATTATTTTTTTTAACTTTTCTTTAGTTTAGTTAATGATAGACTAAAAAACTTAATTTAATACCATTTCTGTATTGCTAATTTCAGAGTTTATGAATGAAATGTTCACTGTGCCGGGTAATAAATTTAATCGAATTTTATGGAAATATTTCCTCACAGTCGTCTGATAATCATTAAGTATACAATGTTTACGATTTAATTTCAGAACATGCACTTACTTACAACTTTAATTATCTACAAGGTAATCAATTATCACTTTTATAAATTTTAAATTTCAAATTAATAATGCATTGCACAGAATTATATGTACAACATTGGTTTCCATTACATGTTTATATTATTTTCAAATGTAGGTGCCTGCATCATGGGCCATCTACAAAGTAATTTCATCTTTATATATTTCAAATTTCATATTTATAACGCTTCGCACAGATTTATATGTACAACATTAGTTTCTATTACAACAAACTATGTACATATATTTAAATGATTATTTTATTTTCGAATTTAGGTATCATAATGACACAATCACATACTCTGCAACGGAAATTATTTCAGACATTAGGTAAACACAAAATGTTAAATTTTTTAGTAAACATTTTTTAAAGGCCACTAAGCACCATAAAATGTGAGTGGGGTAAAAAAAATATTAGCTTATTACATTTTTTGGGATTTCAAACAAATCTTTAAACAATTTCAAAGTATACAGAATATAACTAGATTCATCAAGGAATAACAGCTTATCTTATTAGCAATATCTTATTGTTCTTTATATAAAATACAAAGAACAAAATAAACAAACATAAAAGATTAAATTATTATTAAATTCAGTGTGCAGAAAGTACTTACTTAAACGTTGCTAGAGAATAATTTAATGTTAATAATCTATTTTGCATTGAATAATTAGTAAAATAAATACCAATTATTCGTTTTAAAACGAATGTTATTGATAAATATAAAGACCTGGTTTGATAAACTGTAAAATGATGTTATATTTTTGTTACAGGTATTCCTATGGTCGATACAAACCAAAGTAAATACAAATTTAATCGTTCATTAAAAAAAAGTTATGATTTGAATAAACGATAAAATTTTCTTTATTTTTTTATTTACATTCAATTATTAATAAACTAAAATTTAGTTAAGGAATCATAATATATAACATCAAGGCGTACAATTTTAAAATAAAAACATAAATACCAATATATTAACAATTTTTGTATTATTAATATGGTAATATATAAATTTATGCAGGTAATGACATTTTAAGAGTGACCACATATGAAAAAACAAGAACTTATCTTACTGGAAAAGCTTTACATAACTTACGTAACCAAATATTTGGTGAGTATTTAAGTATAGAGTTTGAGTGGTTTTGCTTTTCTAATAACATGTATTTCTTACAGGGTGTTTCATAATTGATAACACAATCAATAATTTTTTAACTAAATGATAAATTATGGGTTTTCTTTTTGGAGAATCATTAATTTTTGTTATTTTTCAATTTTACAAGATATTTAAATTAATATCTAGAGCCTGGCGGTATTTTTCGGCTTTATGTTAATACCAAAATATTTGGCATTGATTAGTTAGAACTGTCATGGGTAAATAAAATAAACCAGGATGATTAACTAAAAACCATTTTTATATTATTGTTACAGATATTTCTTCACTTGATGATAAATACCAAAGTAATTACAAAGTAATCTCTTTCTGTTGTATATCCGACTGCCTTTTGAAATAATAATTACGTTTTTCGTTAGTATTGAATATAACTTTTAGCTTATTTAAATGATACATTTAGTTTTATTTATATTCATTTGTCCACACAGTAATTATAATAAAGTGAAACTTTAGTTTGGGAGACTTAATAACATATTACTAATATTGTATTCAGAGTTGTGCAAATTCTTATTCGAATAATTATTCGAATAAAAATTTATTCGAATAAAACGTTATTCGAATAATTTTTCTACAAATTATTCGAATAAATTTTTATTCGGCAATTTTTTTTTCAAAATTATTCGAATACAAGGTTATTCGAATAATTTTTTCACAATTTATTCGAATAATTTTTTATTCGAATAATTTTGAAAACAACATTTTCGAATAACTTTTTATTCGAATAATATTTTTACAATTTATTCGAATAAAAAATTATTCGAATAAATAATAATAAATAATGATACTTTTCTTGCGTACTTCAAATGTAAAAATGGTATAACTATTATATTCATTCGATGTATATAATGCGTAATAAAAAATGTAGGTATAAACATCATATGTAAAGTTTTAAAAAAAAAAAAGTATTTATTTTCCTCTATTCTTACTATAAGATTTACATATTATTCAGCTATATACTTAATATAAAGCATATATAGTACCAAAAATAAAACAAAATATCCTAGCCTATATGTAAGAAAACATTATTGACTTAAAGCAGAATTTGATCATTTTAAATGTGTTATCTGTAAATGATAAATTTCAATAATTTATTTCATTCTGTAAATCATATCTATAAGTTGTAATAAACTTCTGTAACAATTTAGGATTTTTGTTATACATTCGATTATGAATTGTCGTGATAAAAAGTTAAAATAAATGGAACTAGTAATTTTTTAAATATTTATTTACTAACCGATTTTTTTTTAATTTTATCATAATGGATATACACGGAGTACAATTAAATGTTTTTATTATTTCAAAATCTACTGTATGTACGAGTTTAGAAATTCGTTAACTACGGGTCCGTGAATATCTCACAAGATAATAGGTACTTTTAGTTTAATTTGCTTATAATTTTATAGTTATCTTATCTGATGTCTAGTTTAAGAATATTTGTTTAAAAAATATAGCTTAACCATTATGTGTAAAAGTGTTATGAACGGAAGGTTTTGAAATGGTAACAACTGTATTGCTTCTGGTAACGTATATATTTGATTAACTTTTAACATTTTTGTAATTTGCCAACTATTATGACTGGTAGATAATTTTAGCTAATACTATTTAGATTGCTTAAGTTCAAATTTTTGAATTGAAGGAAGGGTAAGATAAGTATTATTTCTATCTATGTGCTTTACTCTACTGCATTCCTCCTTTCATCTTAAATTTTTAACTAAAATAACTTCAAAACTAATTATCCAAAAATGGTTATTGATCAGACAACATTTTTAGATAATTATTCTTAATTAAAAAGTTAATCAAAAATATACGTTAACTTAAAAAATATTTAGTTTATAAGATTCACACATAAGGGATGGAGTTATATTATTGAAAATATCTTAAAATTGGGAGGACCATTAAATATAAATGTATAAAAAACAATAATCTTAATACGTGATATCTGCTGAGTTATTAAATCGGGCCATAGGTACCAATCACTACGTACAACACAGAACACTTTTACAATGCACCGTAACAAATACAATAGATCTATAAGCATACAACTTAAAAGCTTATTATCGAGGTGTTGAGTTGTTATATACAGGGTGATCCATTTAGTAGCACTCTTTTTCTCAAAAATAATAACAATTATACAGGTTAATTTAGGACGAGTGGTGGAAATGCGTACGGGTACAAAAAGTACTTTTTCTTTAAAATTTCTCCAAAAAGAAAAACTACGAAATAGTTATTATTTTTTGAGCAAATGCGTGTTTTACGTTAAATAGCTCACCCGGTATTTATCTACCCCTATAAGTATAGTAATACAACGTACACATTTTATAACGTTTGATAAGATATTTTAATGATCAGATTAAATGATAGAGGTACTGCTCGGATATATTTTTAAAAAGGTTTGTTAGTTTAACATTGCTAAACTGGCTTTTATTTTGATTATCTTTTGATTCCATTCGTAAAGTATTGATTGTTAACCACATTATTCTCAACATTATTTAGTTCTATGTGAATGTGTGTAGTGTAACGAACTAGAAAGTGTTTTTTATGAATCTTCTAAAATGAGTTCTTCAAATAGTTTTATTGTAGATAACTTTACGACACTGAATTTTTATTATTAGACAGTTGTAATTTTGTTTATTTATTAGTTTTCACTCGTTTTCGCAAAACTTAATTAATTACTTGTTTTTCAATGTTCTTTTGTTCTATGTCTGTATTTAAAGTAATATTGACTAAAACTTTAACTTATTATACAATACCTATCTATATTATATAAACTATTTCTTAAATTGTCCTTGGTTAATTATACCACATTAATGTAATAATATCGTCGTTTATATAAAAAAATGTCTACTGAGTATTCTATTTTTTCTTTTCATATTTGATAAGTAATTCCAATGTGCCTAACACAAAACTCAATTTGTGAAATCTGTAAATAAAATTAAAATACGTATAAAACACTTCACACTAAGTTTTCAAACCTTTGAAAAAGACATAGGTTAATTTTATTTTTTGTAGTTAATTTGTTTTTATTGAATTTAGATGGTGATAAGAAAATTTTAAATTAAATTTAAGATCTATCCTAGTGTTTATAAATAGTGCATAACATGTAATATATAATGTATATTAAAAAAATTATTATTAAAAAACATCACTTACAAATTATTCGAATAATGGTGTACAGTTATTCGAATAATTTCATATATGATTATTCGAATAATGTTAGTCGAATAAAACGTTATTCGAATAATTTTAAATATGATTATTCGAATAATTTTTTTATTCGAATAAAAAATTGTTATCTAGATAAAGACATTATTCGTGTAAAATTTATTCGAATAAAAAGTTATTCGAAAATTTTTTTTCAAAATTATTCGAATAATTTTGTATTCGAATAATTTTAAAAATAATTATTCGAATAATTTTTTATTCGAATAATTTCAAACATATTTTATTTAAATAAATTTTTATTCGAATAAAAGTGTATTCAAATAACTATTTTTGAAATTATTCGAATAAAAGTTTATTCGAATAATTATTTTTGAAATTATTCGAATAAAAGTTTATTCGAATAAATTTACTCGAATAATGTGTTTATCTAGATAATTATTTAGATAACGTTTTATTCGAATGATGCACAACTCTGATTGTATTAACATTACAATTTTGGACAGCGTGAATCAATTTTTAACAATACAATTAAGCTCACGAAGCGGTTACTGATCTTTTTACATAAATTATTTATTTTTTTATCTGTGGACTGTTGCCTTTTAAATACTAAACTTAATGTTTTTCTTGACTGGACTTACCATCTTGGTCTGTCATTGTATGTTAAAAAATGTCATATTGTGATATTTTCCAACAAACTGCATTTTTCCTGCACGATTACTTTCTTTTTTTTATTCTAAAGTTTGAAGATCACTTAATGACGGTAGCTAACATAACCTTAAAGCCATTTTTTTTATGTAACACCAGATTTTAAAATAATTAACTGGTTATCATAATGGTATTTTTCGAGTGACTGTTCTAGATAAAAATTACAACCAGTGTTGATTAACTATATAATTGTTTTATATTTTTGTTACAGCTGTTACTGTACATGATGATAAATACAAAATAATTTACAAAGCTACTCGTTAGTATTAAATAGAGCTTACGGCTTGATAGAAAGATAAAATTTGCTTTATATATTCTTTTACTCCCACAATAATTACAATTAAGTAAACTTTTAGTAGGGGAGACTTTTTTTAAGAGTTCTAGGATGTGGAGTAGTCTTTTAGCATTATTACCAAACAATGGTTCAGATAACAACTGAGCAAATACAGAATACATTTTTAGCCTATGTAGTTATTTTACTAAAAATACAGCACCCTCTTCACGACTAACTCTTCGATGATTTTCGGGCTAACGCTGATATCCATTTTCATTTTTGCACCCCTTCTATACTCCACCAACGCTACTGATATTCTTTTTACCATATCTTTTTACGTTTATGACGTTAAGTTAAAAAATAAAAACATAAATACGAAGATATAAATAAATATTATATTTTCAACCCAGTTATTTATACATATGTATATTTATGCAGCTAGAGCAATTATTAAATTGACCAAACTTGGAAAGGCGAGGAGACTTCTTACTGGAAAAGTTATACGAAATGTACTTACCCAAGCATTAGGTGAATATAAATAGACATTTTTAATAATATCTATTTCTACAGCGTGATTAATTATGGATAACTCAGCCAATTTTTTTTTAAATTACTAGAAAATGTGTGGATTTCTTTTTGGAGATATTTTAATTTTTGTTATTTTTCAATATTACACAATTTTAGAGCGGAAGGGGGTTTTTATATTTATGTTATTACTATAATATTTGTTATTGCTCAATTTATTTTTAAATAACTAAAAATTTGTAATTTTTATGTGTTAAAACACTTTAATTATTGTCATTATGCAAAATTTGTCGCAACATTTACACTTATTCATATTTTTTTTCTAGAGTTCTAGCAACAAGAACAATTTGTTGAAAATGTTGACTGGCTTAAAACTATTTTTGGATAATTACTTTAAAAGTATTGTTAATGAAGTTTCGAATTTAGGATGAGAATTGGAATGTAGATGATAATAATACTATACTTCATCCTTCCTCTTAACCTGTAAATAACTTTAAAAATAACTATCCACAAATGGTTATAGACCAGTCAAAAGTATCTTAAAGGAAAATAATAGAATATTTACTCATAATTATTTAAACTTTTTAGATTACTGTAGTCACTTTTCCGTTTATTCGACTTTTCTATGAATTCTTATCAATCATGTTTATTGAAAACCAGGTTAGAATTAATGAATTTTCAGTATTCTAAAAACATGTTATAAAATTGCACAAGCTTTGAGTAACACGAAAAAAACCACATGTTTTAAATTAAAAACTCAATTATAATGACTTTCTGTGGCACGAAAAAAAAAGTCAGAATTTTTTCTAAAAAACCGAGATTTTTTTTCATAAGGAGCTGCTTATTTATAATGTGTTGCGTTTGGAAAAAAAAAAGGATAAAGAAAAAACTAATACTTATGTATTATAACATTTTAATATCATTATGCGTATCAAAAATGCAGGGTGTGTTTTAAAAAGTTCGTCGAGGAGGAGGTGGTAGGTTCTTCAAATATTCCTTTATAATCAGCGTTTTGACCAATATACATATTATATATTATAATTGTATTGGTTGACTAACTGACGGCCCTTCCCGGACAGTGAATCCGTCTAGAAACCATCATGCCTGATGGTGATGCATTCAATAAGATGTTTTATTTACGTTTAGTAAATTTGTCTTGCACAATGAAGTGAAATAGTTACTAATAAGCTGAATTTGGCAATTTTTAACTACAATTTTTATCATTTTTAGCTGGACTGATTTTGTATGACAAGATGTATTCAGTTCATGAAATTTGTACTTTAATAGCAGTGTGGATTAGTTCAAAAACGGGTTCATTGACGATAAATAGAGTACATCATGTACAGGATATTGATATTTGTGTAGTGTATGATAAGGACTGGAATGTTGTAAAATACAGACCATTTAAGGGCATATATTGGCAAGTGAATGTCAATAAAATGGATACTAAAATAGAAGAATTAAATGTACAGCTACTCGACGATTCCAGTTATCCACGATTTGAGAACCAGTTAACAACCACAACATTTTAGACTAGTAATAAATGTATATTACTATAATATTATAAATAATTTTTACATACTGTACTAACATCCAAATTGTTATTTAATGTTATGGTTTTTCTAAAATAAACTTTGCTCACAATTATAAACTCATATTTTGTTGTTTAAAAATTATTATTATTATTACTATTGCATACCTATGGTTTTATTTTTACTGGAGGACGTTTTATGATCTAGATTGATAACCAATGAGGAGGAAGATTAAAGGCTCTCGCAAGACTATTTATTGCCCAATGAGAGATAAAATTATAATATGATCAGTTCAATATTCAATTGTATAAGAACTATTGTATTTGTTATAGCATTTTTTCGGGGTTTTATTAATAAACAAAAGATTTGCGTGTATAAGTTAAACGTAGAAGCAGACAAGAGCCAAGTGATGGCAAAAGCTAGAATGACAGTAGAGTAGACAAACCAAGAACAAACTTATTTTACGTATAATATTAATAATAAATATATTTATATTTTCCAAGAAAACGAGTGTCTTACACCTGTAATAGATATTATAGTATAGTATATTAACACTCCAAAGAGCGGAGACTACTGTGCTAAACATTGTTGACCTAATTCAAGTGGAATATGTATGTATTTTGATTTGAATTGTTATTTAACATTGTAGTGTACGACTTGTAGCACAGTTGAATTATTTACTGCACATTAGCTGTATACATATATTATAATATATACGATTTTTATAAAAACTTTATACTCCGTTTCGGAATTGAATAAATATGTTGGTCATAACGAAAAATTACCATGCTGCTTATGTTAATAAATTCGCTAAAACCAAACTGTAAAACATATTTACATTGTATTGTATCGGTCAATATAACAGATGTCATTCGACAAGTCGTAAGACAACCATTGAAATACTTGGTTTAACTATTGCAATTGTTTAAGGTAAGTAAAACTACCAAATCTTCAAAAAGATTAAAACTGTACTCTTTCAATGTGTTTTTCTGATTTTCAACTTTTTTTTCGCATCTAGACGTTCGATAACATTTATTCTACTTAGCCTAATTCATTATACATCAAGACCATAAGTTTTTATAGTAGTTGGATTTATTCGACGATATTTTGCTAACTAATAGAAAGTTAACATTGAAAGTTAAAAACTCGACAATTTTTTTTTTACGTTTTTTTTTCAGTTGTGAGGGGAGGGAGAAGTCGACGTTTTCTTATTTATTATATTGAATATAACAAAAAAATAATAGCGACGCGTCACAACGGTTGTCCACACAAATTTATAAACGTATGCGATTGTAAACGACCGTTTTAGAGTTATTATTGACTTTATAAAATATAATAATTTGAATTATAACAAATAACATATTAATCTGCACTGTATCGTTACTTGTTGAATATAGATTATAAATAGTGGGAAAAAAACTGATAACTAGATTTAAGACCAAAAAGCGAGTTGGGGGTTGTTCTTCCGAAAAATGATATCGCGTGATAATAAATAAATGTTACATAACCTATAAAAATGTATTACTACAGGTAGTACCAACATAGATTTTACCAAAAACCCGCTAAGAGAAATTTCGTATTTGAATATCAAAAACATTGCCTTTAGTTAGGTTCTTATTTGCAAATTGTAGTTAGATCTTTATCAATTATCTAATTTAAATCGTATACACTATACACGTAAAATGATATAATGTAAAATTCATAATAAATTACATTATATTATAGTATATACCTATCTTATAAGTATATGTTATAATTTAATATTATTTGGTATAAAATAATAATAATTTTATTAAAATTTCCCACAATTTGTTTATATTACTATTTAAATAAAACATTTTTACTTTTTACCTAAATTAGTTGACGATTTCAAAATTTGGCTGTCAAGTATAAATTAGTTATACCACATCTTACATTTGTATTCTGTAGTTAAAGAATACAGGTAGGTGCTTATGAGCTTTGTCTTCAGTCTGGTTTTTTAGAAGATATATTATTAACATAATTTGGTACCTAAAGGATATATTAGAGCAAGGAAAACGGAACATATGACACTTGTAGTTTTAATACCTCACATAAATAACTAAAATAAAACATATATTTAATTTTCAAGTTTCACAAATCAATTTATACATTATAAGTAGATAATATGGCATAATATAAAATAGAAAAATAGAAATAATACATATTATTAAATAAATAGATACAATTGCAAGTTGCAGCATCTCATCATATTTGAAAGTATATGCTCTTATCTCGTTCTCATCCAGATCTGCTATTAAAGCTCTTTTTGCCCACAAAAAGTTTAATAAGCTATTATATGACTGATTTAAATATGTTAATATTTACTTAAGATTGGTCAAGTTGTGAACATTTAAATGATATAGACGTAGCAATGGACATATTTAATGGAAAAATTAATGAGGCTGTTTCCAATTCTACTAAAATTTATATAATAAACTTATCAAATAAGAAATTAAAAGGTTGGATATCAAGCGGTCTGGTTAACTCTATTTTAACAAATTAGATATTCCTATTTTTATTTATCATTAAAAAAGGTATAATTGTTTTAGGAATATCTTATACCTACATAGTTTGGTTAGAAATACTAGTTCAAACTTGTAGAAGATAATTCTAACTTTATACTGTTAAATAGTCATACTTAACTATGAAAAGTATAAAAGTTGTAGAAATTTAATTTATAATTATCTTCAGGTAAGTTAGTAATAGTTTTAACAAATGTTAAATGTGTTTTCATTCCTATACATAAACCAGGAAATAAATAATTGGTCAGTCATTATTATCTTTTATTTCAGTCGGTAATTATAATTATTAGACTGTAGCCATTATAAAGTATAAACCAATATCGTTATCACTGTCTCTGTTAAAAATATTTGAAAAATCATTAAATCCCAAATAATGAAGTAATATAATATTTAGTTATTAAAACATATTTACATGGTTTTACAAGTTTTCAGAAAATCAAATTTATTTAGTAGTAACAATTATATAACTTAAAAGATAATTTAAAAATATATATTTTTGTTTTAAACAACACATAACGTTTGAAAAAATTCCAACAACGATACAAGGATATGGCCGGTTACATACTAAACAGTGGCCGAGAATCAAAAAACCGCGTAGGGCTATTCATTTTACTACGGCATTCCTTAAAGCACCTGCACGATACAAGGAATACTATGGAACAACACAAGGTCGACACTGAAACCGAATTCTTTTCGGGGTTTTACAACTTTGCCACGTTGGGATGTTACCCAAAGACCGTTTTAAGGTACACGCGTTACAACACAATAACTAGTTTTTATAACGCTTATAACGAAATAATATAGGCTGACCGGTTCATTGGAAAAATATACGGTAGAATTCGAATATTTTAGTTGTTTGATATTTTCGGTTCCAAAACAATTATGCTATTTTTTATAATTTAAAACAGGTGTTTATTAAAAAATGTCTTTTAACACATTTTTATACCATTTCTTTTCAATCACTTTGACAAACGGGAAAAGTAGATCAATTATTTTAATTAATTAGTTTACAATTTTGTTTTGACCACTATAATAATAAAAGAATACGGTTAAATTTCAGAATTATACCACTACTATTTATCATACGGCTCGTTAATTCAACTACGCTTTATCAAGATGACAAACTATTAACCACTGCGGGGTTACTGTACGAAAGTTTGGGAGAAATGAGAGTTCAACAAACAACTTTTGACTTTACGGCATATCTAGATTTAAGTTATTATAATTCTAATTCAGATCAATTAAAACTACGTATCGCCGAATTAAAAGAATATTGTAAAAATTATGATAATCGAACCTTTGAATGGAATTCTGTAAACAATCTTACTACCAATGATAAAACCTTATCACAACGATGTGCTTTTATAGTAGATAAAATAGATTTTATTCGCGAAGAAGTCGGGCGAAAAATAGATTTAAGTCTAAAATCCGTAGGTCACACTAAGTCACGACGTTCTATACCATGGGGAGCTTTAGCTAAAACGGCAAAAACCATCTTTGGGCTTTGTAGCGATAAATGCTTGGAAAAATCCGAATCACTTATTAAAAATTATCTCGATGGGGGCGAAACTGCTTTGCCATAAAACACTAGAGTATTCAAAATATCACAAAATGTCAAACCTGATCAAACTTTGCCAACGCCACCACAAATAAAACCTCCAGCTGATGTATATACAACGGGTATGATGGAACTATTTCGGTTAGGCAACGTAGCCGAAATTAAATTGTTATTATCTCAATACATTTACGAATCTAATCTCATATTTGAAATACTACAATTAGCACGGTTAGGTCAACTTCATTCTAGCTTAATAAGCATTGATGAACTTCAAACGCAACTAGTTGTTATCGCAAACCAATTAGAACCAAACACTCAACTTCCATTTGATACTAGTATTGACCACATAGCTGAAACAGTTAAATTATCACAAATTATCATTTATTATGCCGATGGGAAAATTGTATTTAAAATAAACTTACCTGTAGTTTTAAAGGAACGGCTGATTTTATACCATATACTTCCATTACCTGTTTGCGAAAATGAAACTTGTATATATATCAAGCCAAAATTTCACTATATCGCTGTAACAAATACTTATGAACGGTATTCAACATTCGAAAAAATTGATCAGTTAAACTGTAAACGAAGCTCAACTTTCTTACTATGTAATGAATTATATCCACTCCATGCTTACAGCAATCTGCAAGTTTGTGAGCTTTTACTTTTAAAACAACAAAGAACTGTTCCTAGAAGTTGTAAAATCCTTTATAACAGAATACCTAGTACTATATTTTATAAATTTACAAATAAAAATAAATGGCTGTATATTTCGCCTGGGGAAACCGTTTTTATAGCTTGTGGAGATCGTCCCGCAGAACGGATACAATTAGAAAATAATGGGATACTAAGTTTAAATTCTTCTTGTAGAGCTTACAGTGACCAGGATGTATTAATAC